AAAATCTTCATGGTGATGCATTGTCCCGAGGAGAGGAAGCTAGTTTATGCTGTTTATATGTTGGTGGGTGAGGCTAGCTTTTGGTGGAAAGGTGCTCAGGCTATGATGGAAGCTAGAGGGGAAGTGGTGAATTGGGAAAATTTCAAAAAGGTATTCCTAGAGAAATATTTTCCAGATAGTGCCAGGTATGCTAAGGAAGTTGAGTTTTTGAGACTGCAGCAAGGAAATATGTCAGTACAAGAGTATGTGGTCAAGTTTGAACACTTGGCTAGGTACTATTCTCAAGCTATCACTGAAGCCTGGAGATGCAGGAAGTTCAGTGAGGGTTTAAGGTATGAGCTGAAGAAGACTATTGTCCCTATGGGAATTGTGGAGTTCCCAGTTTTAGTTGAAAAGGAAAAAACAATGGAAAGATTTGAAGAAGGAAATAAAATGGCAAAGGGTCCAGAGGAATCATCTGGATTTGGGAGGGGGAAACATTCTCAAAAGAGACCATCTCAGTTTCAAATTGGAAATGCTAATAAGAAACCGATGGGGACTACTTCCACAAGAGCTGTTCAGAGTATCAGATGTTACACATGTGGAGGCCTACATATGATGAGGGACTATCCTACAAAGAACTATGTGTGTTTTAAATGTGGCAAGGTGGGTCACATGGCTAAAGATTGCAATGTCAGAAATACTCCAGCTACAGGGAACCTGAAAGTGGATCGGCCTACTGTAGCATGTCGTGTTTTTGCTTTGACAAGTGCTGAAGCTGAAACGTCATCTGAGCTGGTAAAGGGAAAGGGCAAAGCTGATGGTAATGATATTTCTATTCTATTTGATTCGGGTGCTTCACATTCTTTTATTTCTTATGAATGTGTGGCAAGGTTAAATTTGGTTGTGAGTTCCTTGTGTGTGGATCTAGTCATTTCTACCCCAGCTTCAGGTTCTATTTTGACTTCTGAGGTTTGTTTAAGATGTCCAGTGGAGGTGGAAGGGCATTGTTATAAAGTGAATTTGTTTTGTTTACCTTTATCTGATTTGGATGTAATTTTAGGGATGGATTGGCTTTCTGCCAATAGGATTTTGATAGATTGTTCAGAGAAGAGATTAATCTTTTCTACTATTGGACAAGAGAGATTTATTTCTAGTGGACAGGTGGGTGGATTGTTGAAGGGTGGAGCTCTTGGGTTTATGATCCTATCTTTTATCAGTGTAGAGAATGAAAAGTTGTTGAATAGTATTGATGTTGTTAGAGATTTCCCAGAGGTTTTTCCGGATGATGTTCCAGGTTTACCACCAAAGCGAGAGTTGGAGTTTAGTATTGATCTTATACCAGGGGCGGGACCAGTGTCTATTTCTCTTTATAGAATGGCACCAGCGGAGTTTTCTGAATTGAAGAAGCAGGTTGAGGAACTTTTGGAGAAGCAGATGATCAGACCTAGTGTCTCTCCGTGGGGAGCACCCGTGTTATTGGTAAAGAAGAAGGATGGTGGTGTGAGGTTATGTGTGGATTACAGGTAGTTAAATAAATTGACAATCAAGAATAAGTATCCTTTGCCAAGGATAGATGATTTGATGGACTAGTTGAGGGGAGCTTCTGTTTTCTCCAAGATTGATTTGAGGTCTAGGTATCACCAGATTTGGGTAAAGGAAGAGGACATACCAAAGATTGCTTTCAGGACTCGGTATGGCCATTATGACTATGTTGCGATGCCTTTTGGAGTGACGAATGCTCCAGCTATTTTCATAGATTATATGAACAGGATTTTCAGACCCTTTCTGGATAAGTTTGTTGTGGTGTTCATTGATGACATTTTGGTTTATTCTGGATCTATGGAGGAACATAAAGAACATCTGAAGATAGTTTTGCAGGTATTGAAGGAGAAACAGATATTTGCAAAGTTGTCAAAATGTGAGTTTTGGCTATCTGAAGTTAAGTTCTTGGGTCATGTGATTTCTGCACAAGGAATTGCAGTTGATCCTACTAAGGTGGAAGCGGTTTTGAGGTGGGAGCGTCCGAAATCAGTTACTGAAGTTAGAGGTTTTATGGGATTGGCTGGCTATTATAGAAGATTCATAGAAGGATTTCCTAAAATAGTTATGCCTTTGACACAACTAACCAGGAAGGATCATCCTTTTGTATGGAAGGAGGAGTGTGAGAAGAGTTTTCAAGAGTTAAAGGAGAAGCTAACGTCGTCTCCTGTGTTGATTCTGCCAAATCCCGATAAATCTTTTGAGGTTTATTGTGATGCATCTCATCAAGGTTTAGGATGTGTTCTTATGCAAGATAGACAGGTTGTGGCCTATGTATCTAGGCAGTTAAAGACTCATGAACGGAATTATCCTACGCACAATCTAGAGTTGGCTGCGATGGTTTTTGCTTTGAAGATTTGGAGGCATTATCTTTATGGAGAAAAGTTTGATGTGTTCAGTGATCATAAGAGTCTAAAATATTTGTTTGATCAGAAAGAGTTAAGTATGAGGCAAAGGAGGTGGATTGAAGTACTCCTCTAGGTATTCTATTTGCTACCGGTATGGGTCCAGGCCGAGTCATACCGATGGATGAGGTGGCCACGATCACCAGGGTTACGTGACGACGTAATCCAACTGTATATTTTCCATGAGAGGTTAGGTGTGTGACATGGGTTGATGACATGTTTCACCGAATCAACACTTGGTTTGGATGTGTTGAGGCCAACATTTGGTTTGGATGTGTTGGTTACATCATGGATTATACAGTGGTGTGACTTTGTTTTGGATGTGGAATATGTATACATATGGTATGGATTGCATACATTGGTTATGGATTCTTTATTATCATAAAATATGTAAGCATTGGCATGGATGTGTATACATTATATTCTGGATTGGTTTATATTTGGCATGGAAATAAATGTTTATAATGTTCATTTCTTTTGTATGGATACATATTGTTGATGAATATCTAGTTTAATGATATTTCATTATATTGTACTATGGTTGGTTTTATATCTGCTAACCCTTATATTTCCATGATGTGAACTGTGATGATCTCACTATGTGGGGGAGTAGATCAGGTGTGAGATCTTGGGATAGCAAGGAATCTTTTTGGGTAGCTGTTTTGAGAAGTGGCTAGACTTAGAGCTTGACCAGCACCTAGGGGGTCTTTTTTTTATACTTTCATGATATTGTTATTATATTAATTTTTTTTATTACTTTATAATCATTACTTATTATTATTACTTTGTTTTAAAATTATTTTTTATATTATTTAAACAATTTATACATTATTGTATATTTACACTCTAGTGTAGCTGGCCTTTGCTCTCTTTTCTTAATTGTATATTATTTTATTTTAGTTGTCATATTAGTTATTGATTTGACGGCCTAAGGCGGGTCGTTACACAAAACATATTCAAACTCAAAATTAAACATACATTCGTGCTCAGTAATTATCAGAGAATACAACAGAAAACTCAAAAACCAAAACAAAATATTCAAAATTTGCATATTCTCGTAGAGTTTCCTGTAGCAACCTATAGAACACTTTAATTCATATTAAAACTTATCTATTCTCAAAATTGAACGCATATTCACACTCAGAATCACACAAGGAATGCAACAGAACAAGTAGAAAGTAAAACAAAAAACTTTCATAATTTGCCTATTCTCAAAGCATGTATTAGGCAAGGGATTGGGGGCCAATCCGGTTACCCAAAAATTATTCCTACACCCCCAAGCGAGATTCTTCACTCCCCCTTACCTTGATGAGTAGAAGATAAAACACGGGCAGAATCTGGTTGGTCTCCTTCTCTTCATTCTCCTTGGTCTTCAGAGCATAGGAAGAACATGGGTCATGAAGAAGTGAATACGTGAAATGACTTGGTAACTTTTGATAACCTCTCTTAACCCTTTTTTTCTCAATTAATAAAATAAATATTAATAATAAATATCAAAAGACCTCCATGTACTTCCTTCCCTTCTTATCACATAAATAATAACCTAATATAATTAAAATACAACTCTTCCCTTTTAATCAAATAACATAAGCATCATAATATAAAATACATTTCACAAAATTATCTTCATAATACCAATCAAAATAATAATCATAAAATCATGTCTCCGTGCATAAAATATAATTTATATAATAGATTAAATAATATTCAAAACTATAAAATAAATACATTAAAAACAATCAAAATACACTTTCTCTTTTTTAATTAAAAATAACATATGCTTAGCCTTTAATAAAATACATTTCATAAAAACCTATCTCATATCAAATAATCAAATATTAATTAAAAATTATGTTTTATATTAAAATAGAGCTCACATAAAATAGATAAATAATATAAAATATATTTCTTTCTTTTAGTAAAAATAGCATACATTTTATATAAAAAATAATAATAAAGCTCATATCAAATAGCTAAATAATATTAAAAATCATTCTAATAAATACATTAAAAAATTAAAATAAATATTGATATATTATTAATATAATTTTATGAGAATCAGGGTGTTACATAGCAACCAAAGGGGTTTGCAGATGATAAGTCTAAGGTTTGTCTCTTGAAAAGAAAATCACATTATGGCTTGAAACAAAGTCTACATCCGTGGTTCAAGAAATTTGATGATTTTCTATTAAACTTGGTTTTTTGGAGGAGAAACTATGACATATATGCATGTACATATTAAAAAAATGAGAAAGATGTGTTTTTTTTCTTTCTCTTTGCTATATGTGGATGATATTTTGGTAGCAAGCACTACCAAGGATGAGATTGGTGTGCTCAAAGAGAAGTTAAATTCTAAGTTTGAGATGAAGATCTCCATGTTACTGGGAGGATACTTGAGATGGATATTGTGAAAAACAAGTCAAAAGGAGAATTGTTTTTATCTCAACATTGTTACATGCAAAAGGTAGTGGAGAGTTTTCGAATGCATCAATCTAAACCTGTTACCACTCATTTGGGTCATCACACAAAACTCTCCATCACACAAGCTCCTAACATTGAAAAAGAAAAGAGGAAGATGTGTTTTATTCCATAAACAAGTGGAGTAGAGAGTATCATCTATGGTATGGTTTGTAGCATACCTAATTTGGCTTATGTTATTAGCATTGTTAATCGTTTTATGAAAATATGGGTCAAGCTCATTAAGAAGCTTCGAAGTGGATATTAAGGTATTTGAATGGTTCTCTAAAATATATTTTGAGGTATAAGATGACAGTTCAAGATGGAGAAGTTATTATGGGGTATGTTGATGCAAACTACACAAGAAATGTGGATACTAGGAAATCTTTATTTGGGCATGTGTTCACTTTGTTTAGGACTTGTTGTGCACTAGGGGGGTGTTACCACACATATACACATGTCTCCACATTGGTGAGATATTGTCTGCTTTGGGCCCAAGCCCTCACGGTTTTGTTTTTGGACATCACCCAAAAGGCCTCTCAACCAATGGAGACAATTGTGTGTATATAAACTCATGTTCATCCTCTTGTTTTAACGATGTAGGACTTTGCTTGCATCCCATTGAGCACCGGGGGGTTACCACACATATACACATGTCTCCACACTGGTGAGATATTGTCCGCTTTAGGCCTAAGCCCTCACGATTTTGCTTTTGGACACCACTCAATAGGTCTCTCAACTAATGGAGACAAGTGTGTGCATATAAACCCATGTCCATCCTCTTGTTTAAATGATGTGGGACTTTGCTTGCATCCCAACAATCCTCTCCTCAAACAAAGGACCACGGTTTACCCCATCCCTTGCAGCGAAAACTACGAGTATTATCCAATGGTGGCCCCACAGAGCTCACTCACACTCAGAGTGCTTGCACCGTCGCTCCATCATGACCTCCCTCATGACAGCGGGACACGCCTCCTAACCCTCCATGTTACTGGAAAGCCTCTCTTCCGCATGGACCCACCGTTAGGAAGACTTTCGACACAAGGGATCCCAAACTTGGATCCACTTGCCAACCATCATACTCGTCGAGCTAATCACCTCAGACCATCGGCTCTGATACCACTTGTTGAGCATCGAGGGGGTTACCACACATATACACATGTTTACACATTGGTGAGAGATTGTCCGCTTTGGGCCCAAAGCGGACAATATCTCACCAATGTGTAAACATGTGTATATGTGTGGTAACCCCCTCGATGCTCAACAGGACTGCTTCTAGTTGGAAAGAAAATTTACAACATGTGTGGTAGCTTTGTCTATAACACAAGTAGAATATATTGCTCTTATTGAAGGAGTGAATGAGGCATTTTAGTTAAAAGGGATGATTGGTGAATTGAGTATGTCACAAAATTGTGTGGCAATTCATTGTGATGGTCAAAGTGTTATACACCTTGAAAATGTCAAGTTTATCATGAGAGCATGAAGCATATTGATATAAGACTTCACTTCATCAAAGATGTGGTTGAATCTCTGGAGTAATTCAAATTGAGAAGATTGTGTTTGAAAACAATCATGTTGATGTGTTTACAAAGTCTCTTTCTACATACAAGTTCAAGCATTGCTTGGACTTGATCAACTTCGTTTGATGTTCGTTTTTAAGTGGTAGAGCAATACTTTTGTTAAAGGCTTTTTTTTCTGTAGATTCAAAGTCAAGGTGGAAAATTGTTGATTGTAAGTTAAAATCTAATGTATCATCGATATGTTCTGTATGATTTTTTTTATGTAGGGTTACATTCAGTTTGTCTTCATTCATGTGATGGGTTCAAACTATTCATAGTTTGTGCTCATTAATTTGATGGGTTCAATTTGTCCTGTGTTGTAAGACTTAATCTTACTGCCTTAGATCCCTACATATATCTATTTGGGGATCCTTTCTAAGAGAGAGAAAGAGTG